CCCGCGGCAGCACGGCTTTCCCCGACCTGCCGCTTCCTTGGGAATCACCTGATAAAGAGGGATCAAAACCGCCCGCAAAAGGGAAAAACTCAAACCTTGTCAAAACAAACTTTCGATCTTACTTCTTACTTAAATACCGCATTTTCTTTTGAATTTATAATCATTGTTTAGTGACTGGCAATAAAGAATAAGGTCTTTTTAAACCATGGAGCTGCAGGGTAACATTTCATATAAAACATGCCAGTTTCTTTTGAATGCTTCCAGGATGCAGCATTTGTTTGTTATCTGAACACGGGGGAGTGCCAGGCTGAGAAAACACAACTCATCAACTTCTCCCACCTACTGCCATGACCTGTCTTACCCAGATGATGGTTGCCCATCTCCCACACCACAGCAGCACGGCTGGATGCCCAGCCAGCACTCTGATCCAGGTCCCTCACTAACCACCCAACCGGTCAGGACCGTTCTGAAGGTGGCTGTGGCCAAAGTCACAGCTGGCTCCTGACCAAGGCACTAAAAACTGCATCTAGGACAGCTCACATCCTGACATCACCCCTCCTCATCCCACGAGTACTGCAGCGCCTGTTCAAAACCAGCCAGGGCACCTATCCTTTTCCTTCAGCACCTATTCTGGAAGAGGCCCAGAGCTTTCCTATCTCTTGCCAGCTCTGTCCCCACTGCCAGAAGCCAGGCCTCCGCTCACCGAGCTGGCTTACGTTACCTGGTCCTACTTGTAACACTGGTCACTGTTCATCAGTATGTTCTACAGCAGCCTCAGATACATCAAAAAAGAGATTACATCATCAAAATTGGAGTTCCCCACAGAACGCCCTGGGGCAGAGCAAGAATCACTCCCAGCTTTGAGATGGCTGAGGACACAAACAGAAGCAACTGAGCGCTCCACTAGTGGCGCCGTCCACCAGGAAGGCAAAAAAGCTGGTTACTGGACACAGGATGGAACAGGAAACCTCATCGCTGTGGCTGCCTACCTGGGACGCTGGCCAGCTCGACAGCGTGACTGCGGCAAGCAGCTGCACAACAGACCATGGAGCTGCACTTGAAGGACTTCTTATGCAAGTCAGACCTAAAGATGTCATGTATCAGTCACAGCAAAGCTCCTCCCCAGCTGGAAAAGCAATGATGAATACCCCATGTACCCTGGAAAATACTCAGATATAATAAATATAGCACATGGTCGCTGAATGACTGGCACTTGAATATATAATTACAATAACTAACCAATTAAAGATGATGAAGAGTTGACAGCTAGGAGGAAGGTACATGGCAGAGCAGAGAAGGAAGTGATGACGTGGAGTATGGAGAGCTATGATTCAGTCTCTGAACTTCAGCCACTGAACAACAGACGACCACAGCCTGGCGATCAGCCTGCCGTGCTCTGCTTGATGCTCATCCGACCGTTTGACTCAAAGTGTCCAGACAACAAACACAGCCCGTAACTGAACGTATGACTGAAAGCAACTCCGTAAGTCTGGGCTCCAGGTTGATGGAAAAGGCAGCAAGAGGAACCAGTGCTGACACCAGCTGGATGGTGAAGAGCCAGCCCTGAACACAGCAGAAAAACATCAGCAGCTTGCAGGAAAACACAGGCTAAGGCAGGACCTAGCCCAGACCCCTTTCCCCCCTCTATCACCAGCAAAAGCCCAGTTGTACACCACACAGGTAATATCTCACACCATCTGTAATTCGAATGGCCAGAATCAAAGGAGGATAGGTGCACTGCTGGAGTCACAAAACTACAAGTTTCTGGGAAATCTCTCCCAGAAACGAGCACATTAGAAGTATGAAGAGACAATTTACTGAGTGAATCAAACTGAGTGGTGTTTAAGAGTCCTGCTCTTCCGCTTCTGAAAGAAAAATCAACTGATTTGACCAAAACCAGACTGTGTTATCACACCATCCAGGAACTTCTGGATTCTTGAACAGTCATCCTAAAGACTCCTAAAAGCTTTATGCAGCAATCTGCAAGGCTCATCAGCACTGTTGGCTTTCCTCTTTTATTGTTCTTTTTTCAGCAAGTTGGTCCAGCTGCAGCGATAGTTCTCGGTAGCTCTCGTCAGCCCACCTCCTGTCACCAAAAACTCCAATGATCAGTCTTCCCAGGAACCTGCTTCTCAGCAATCTCTGTTTCAGGGTTACACATCGCACTAGAGGATGAGCACGCTGCAGCGTTGCAGCATCCTACAGCCCACCTCGTTAAGGGTGCAGATGACCTGGGTTTGATGAGCTCACTCTCCTCTCATTACATCTTGGATCGAAAAGGGAGCTGGAAGTTGCACTACTGGACAGAACTCTGCCTGTGTTGAATACAACCTACCAAACAAAAACATTCTGCTCTGGGCACAAAGACTACTTAGACCCAAAGAAACTTAGAGCTGTCGCTCAACACCCCTGACTACCGGCCACAGACTTCTTGGTGGTCAGTCATCATTTCACACACACGCTCCAGCAGACCACAAACTGCACTGTGCTGAAAAAATACTCTCAAGATTTCTTTTCACAACTTTCCTACACGTCACAATAATGAATATCCTCTTCAAAGATCAGATGAGGAATCAGCAAGTAATCAGCAGGTAGCTGCACTGAGTGGGCCCACTGATGTCCAACAACTCCATCACTGTACAGGAGTAAAACAAATACACAGCAGACGAGATGCAATCTATCAATAACTCAAAATAGTAGCTTTAAAAATGGATTTTCATTATAATACTTTTTAATTAAGAGTTACAGCTTCTTCAGGTATGTCTACCTAATGAATAAAGTATCTTAGCTCCCCAAGATAGATTAAATAACTCAACACAAAGCCTGACAACTAATCCTGACATCTCTGGTTACTCCTGATTATAAATAGAGAGAACTGATAAAGATATCCTTAGTAGTCTTCAGCTGTAACATCAACACAGAAAGTGACAAAAGGCACAGCGGTGCTCTCCCCTTAAAATTTCTTTTATATATATATATATTTTTTTTTTTTAATATAATTGATATCACAATCATCTTTCCAATATTTTCTTGCAACCTAGGAGAGCATTTACTAATGAAAATGCTTAAGAAATACTTCAAGGCCTCTAAAAGAACATACACACACAGCACACACAGAAAACACAAGATATCTGTTCAGCTGCAGACTAAAACTGCACAGTTTGAGATATCATCCCAGTGATCTGGACTAAACAAAAAGTTTGGTTTGGTTTGTTCCTCCCAGCCTTAGGGAAAATGACCAGATACATGTGAAAGCAGAAGCATTCAGAGATCTCTTCCAGACTTCTCACACTGGCAAACCACGAAGAACATCAGCCGCTCATCGTACCAAAGTCTGACACGTCCCTTTTTTGATGCACAATTTGAAGAAGCCTTGCTTCTTAAAAATCTAACTAATCAAATAAACAAACTTAAGAAATGTCCAAAGACTTCCATGTTTCACAATACTACAGTCTCCAACAGGAAAAGACTTTAAGAAAATGCCCAGTTCTACAAGTACTACTTTCTCTTGTAGCTGCACAAAATTCCCAGCAGGCAACCTCATCTCACTGCTGCTCAAAGCACATGCAAGGTGAGGACTGTAAAATTAAACTCCACACGAAGGAAGCCCACTCTTTTCAGAGTTTCAAACACACTAGCAAGCAGCTCACATTACCAGGTTTGATGTGCCAGTGTTGATTACAGGCTGAATTTACAGCTGAAAAAATGGCTAGATTAATGTGGACAGTACCACAAATGAAAACTGGTACTTGATTAGTACAGCAGAGATGAAAACATTCATTAATTAGGTTCAAAGTAATATCATATCTATTCATAAAGGCTTTAAAAATCAAATTCATCTTTGATAAACGTGGAAATATCCGACAAAGAGCAATCACTGTGCAAACGTAACCCTCCAGAGCTGCACACGAAAAGCAGCCCGTTAAAAAGAGCTTTTCACTGACGAAGGACTGCTTGAAGAGGAAGTGCTCACTGGGATGAGCAAAACCTACTAAGACAGCCAAATTAAAAATGAGTAAGGAACTACAAAAACACCCCCTTCCCAAACCATTAGTACTGGTCATTTCACCGGAACAGCGGGCAGCAGGGGAAGGAGCGCTCCTGGACACAGCAGTCCCCGGAGTCAACGACAGCTCTTACACAGATGGGGAAGAATATTGCTAATATGCAGCATGCAAAACTACAGCTCCTGTGGCTAGACATAAACAAGGAAGAAATTCCAGTTTCTAGAGGCTTTACTAGAGGGTTTACTACTACATTTATGTAGTCTGCAGTCTCTCCGTTTTAAGCGACTAGAAAAGATAAAACAGCCTTTCTTAATCCTCAAGTTTCATGTTACTCTTCAGAAAGGTCAGAAAGAAACTGCGAGGCAAAGCCATCGCTACGCAGGAACAGCCTCAGGATTTCGGAAAACAGTTAAAAAGGTCCCAATTTATAAGCACAAGCACGTGGAAGAACACGCTTACCCACAAATACTGCAGAAACTTCAGCAGACGCGGACAGTAGTAATACTCCATCTTCCAAAGCCCAAAGTTAACACAACCCCATCCTCGCCAGGCTCTGCCTCCCCGCTCCTCCCCGCCTCCAGCACGAACTGGAAGCAGGCTGGAGCGATCAGAAGCCACACGAAGGAGG